GGCTCTCCGTGGTGTTGGTGGTCTTCTCCTCGATGCCGATGGAAAGCGTTTCTCCAATGAGCTCGGCCGTCGTGATTACGTCTCCAACAGGATGTTCGCCAACAAGGGACCTTTCCGCCTCGTCCTCAACTCTGCCGCTGCCAACGATATTCACTGGCATGTCGAGCATTACGAGGGCCGTGGTGTCATGAAGCACTTCAAGAGTGGTTATGATCTCGCCAAGGAGATGGGTATCGCCCCCTCCACTCTCGAGCAGACCTTCAAGAGCTACATTGAGGTTGGTGACAAGCAGACTGCCGATCCTGACAATGGTCCCTATGATGCCTACCCGTCTGGAAAGACTTGGGATGAGTGGGGAAAGAAGTTCTTCAAGAACTACAACTACAAGATGGATGACGAGTTCGATGTTGCCATCGTCACTCCTCTCGTTCACTACTGCATGGGTGGTTTGAAGATCGATACTACCGGTCATGTTCTCGACAAGGAGGGTAAGCCCATCCGCGGTCTCTATGCCGCCGGTGAGCTCATGGGAGGTGTTCACGGCAACAACCGTTTGGGTGGTAACTCTCTTCTTGACTGTGTAGTCTTTGGCCGTCTCACCGGTAAGGATCTAGTTAAGAGCTGCCTTAAGGGATGCAAGCCTGTGGCACTGTCTGATCTCGCTGAGGGCCGCACTGGTGTCAGCAAGCGCGCTATTGTTGTTGGAGGTGGTCTTGCTGGTTTCTCCGCTGCCAACACTGTCCTCGAGCACGGTGGTGAGGTTCTTCTCCTTGATAAGTCTGCCTTCTGTGGCGGTAACTCTTCCAAGGCTACCTCTGGTATCAACGGTTCTTGCACTAAGACCCAGAAGAGGCTCGGTGTTGAGGATTCCAACGAGTTGTTCGAGTCCGATTGCATGAAGGGTGGTTCCAAGAGCCCTGAGCTCATCAAGACTATGGTTGAGAACTCCGGAAACTCTGTTGACTGGCTCGTTGATAACTTCGATCTCGACCTTTCTCTCCTTGCTCGTCTCGGTGGTCACTCTGCTGAGCGTACCCATCGTGGTAAGGAGCGCTTCCCTGGTATGACTATTACCTATGCTGAGATTCAGATGGCCGAGGCTATTTCCAAGGCCCATCCCGACAAGTGCCAGATCATGAACAAGGCTCGTGTCACTGATTTGATCACCGAGGATGGTGAGGTTGTTGGTGTCGAGTATACCACTAAGGATGGCCAGACCCATAAGGTCTATGGCCCTGTTATCCTCGCTACTGGTGGTTTCGGTGCTGATTTCTCCAAGGACGGTCTTCTTGCCAAGTATCGTCCCGATCTCCTCAAGCTCTCCACTACTAACGGCGAGCACTGCACTGGTGATGGAATCAAGATGGGTATGGCCATCGGTGCCGACACTGTCGATCTCGAGTGGGTACAGGTCCATCCTACTGGTCTTGTTAACCCTAAGGATCCCGACTGCAAGGTCAAGTTCCTCGCTGCTGAGGCTCTCCGTGGTGTTGGTGGTCTTCTTCTCGATGCCGATGGAAAGCGTTTCTCCAATGAGCTCGGCCGTCGTGATTACGTCTCCAACAGGATGTTCGCCAACAAGGGACCTTTCCGCCTCGTCCTCAACTCCGCCGCTGCCAACGATATTCACTGGCATGTCGAGCATTACGAGGGCCGTGGTGTTATGAAGCACTTCAAGAGTGGTTATGATCTCGCCAAGGAGATGGGTATCGCCCCCTCCACTCTCGAGCAGACCTTCAAGAGCTACATTGAGGTTGGTGACAAGCAGACTGCCGATCCTGACAATGGTCCCTATGATGCCTACCCGTCTGGAAAGACTTGGGATGAGTGGGGAAAGAAGTTCTTCAAGAACTACAACTACAAGATGGATGACGAGTTCGATGTTGCCATCGTCACTCCTCTCGTTCACTACTGCATGGGTGGTTTGAAGATCGATACTACCGGTCATGTTCTCGACAAGGAGGGTAAGCCCATCCGCGGTCTCTACGCCGCCGGTGAACTCATGGGAGGTGTTCACGGCAACAACCGTTTGGGTGGTAACTCTCTTCTTGACTGTGTCGTCTTTGGCCGTCTCACTGGCAAGGATCTC